CACGACCAATGACGCTCGACATTACGTAAGGATTATATTAGTTTCTTATCGCGCGATAAAGAGTTCTTTGCTGACGACGGAGGTCGTACTATTCGATCATCGCTGTTGACTAAATTTTGGAAAACGGCCGCTGGCCCCAACATGGATATTTGCGAAATGCCTAGTTCTCCCGTCGGTAATCGTGGTAAACGTTAGCCGCATTTACGGGCATTTATATCCTAGACTTCCTAGAAAAAGACGATGGCCTCGAGGAACAGTTTAAAGGCTGGTTCTACCTCTTTCGCGGTGCCTGAAATCAAGACGGAATATGCATCTCCCTATGCATCCTGCCGAGATGTCTGGTCAGGCTGGTCGCGTCTCGTCGATCGGCTCCACGTCTCGCGACTAGATAGAAATTATGGTAGGCTCAGGATCGGGCCGATTTTGATAATTTCCGAGACTCGATATTATACTTACGAGTGTTGCCCACGATGATCCAGTCGAAACGCAGAGCGGCATCTGCATAATTTTCTTTCGTGCCGCTGGACGACGAGGACTGACGAGATATTTTGTATCTCGTGACAAGATATGACGCAGTATACGCAACATATTCAAATGATTTCAAACTATATGGTCACAGTATAAATAAAAATATGTTTATCATTTTAGGTTAACATTTTAGGAAGACAAAAAATCTTGACAGATTTTTCTATAGTAATTTAAAATTTTATATTTAGTTAATTGAAATGATTGCGCAAATGTCTTGCTAAATAATAATGAGATAGATAAGGATATTTGTTGAAGTTGGAAAAAAAATTATATAAATTTTCCAAAGAATCTTTTCTTTATTAACATTGCACATTCTTAAGTACATTTGGTCTTGGTCGAGGAACATTATTGGTGGGAATTTATTTCATTAATCTTATAAGGACCGTTTAGAACTAAGTCTTAACTCGTATCTAAGTAAAAAAAAAAAACAATCTATTTACAAAGGTACTTGACGGCAGTGCTAACAACGCAAAATACAGTCTTCGAAAAAGTTTCCCTTTCGTGCGCGAAAGTGTCGTGAAGAGGAAAATTATTTTTTTTCGTGCCTAGGAAAGGCATAAAAGAGATCATTGTACAACAGGTAGATCGCGATCGCAGTTTATTTTTTTACATATTTATCGCTCGATTATCATTTCAAGTGTGATTAATCACTTGTAGCTCAAACTTCACATTAAACGCAAAAGAAATCACGTTACGCGCTCTATTCGCATAATTCTCAAACTATTCTCTCAATTGTCTATAATCGAAATATAATTATCGTCAGTGACCCGCTTCTCACCGAGAAGCGATCACATGCTGTTTAAACCGCCGAAATGTCTAAAAAGTTTATAGAATGGCACCAAATAGATTAGTCTAATGAAAGTCGGTTTATTCTGTTGCAACTTGAATTCTCCGCTTCTCCAGGCTCGATTACGGGACTTTGTCCTTGGCCTTGGAGTCACATCAAGCCGCGACGGAAGACAAATCGTGCTGATAGAGGGACGAAACGCGCGGCTGATGCGCGACTGGCTGTAGATGAAGACATTGCGCGTCGACTAATTAGCGTTCGCGTATATTGTTGTATCGCGTACATTGGTATGGAGGCCGAGGCCCACACATGTGGGTCTGGTTCGCCATTAGCGTATCCAACCCTCGCGCTTTGATATTACTTAAAGTATTTCCTTCTTCGGCGTTGACGTCTTTCTTTTCTCCCTTTCTCTATCTATCTTTCTTTCTTCGTCTCTATCCATCCGGACCGTTCTTCGTTTCACCCGGTTGCGCCCTACTGCTGTGAATGGGTCGGTGAATAATTAGCCCACCCATTCCCCTTTCGCTTTTTCCTCGACGTCGCTCAATCGACGCGCGAATCGAATAAATCTCTATCGTCTTAATTGAGGAAGCCGGCGCGGCGCGGAAAATACATTCACACGGTGGACAAAGGCCCCGTTGTTTATAACGAAATTAATTGGTGTCCGTTCGTTGTTTTGCCGCTAATTACACGTGATTTATCTGCGACGGTAGCGGCGCCAATTGAATGATAATGTCCCGAAAGAGGTACGTACGGCGCTGCCTCCCCCCCTCCCCCCTAAGTAATTCCCTTTCGACGCGCGAGAACGCGAAATCGTGTGCAATTTAATCCCGCGATTTGATTACCGAGCAGGTGGATGAGCGCGACTTATCGTCTTCTTTTATAATACTGCCATTACAACGCGTACGAACCCGTAATGGGACGCGGAATATGGCAACTATAAAGTATTATATTACAGCGATGCTGCCGCTGAATTTTTCTTTCGTTGCGATAGTAATACGTGTCATTTTAAAAATAATGACACGGACAAGTTTTCTCGGCGGCGAAAAATGTGTACTTGTACATGAGATACCATATATTTTTGATAAAATTTAGAAGAATATATATCGCGCGTGATAATTAAGCATATTCTTTGACATACTATATATCCTTCGTAATTCTTCTTACTCCTCTACTTTCGACCCTTATTTATGAGTGGTGAGAATAGAATATTGCAATGATCGTAACGCCGCTTATCATCGCGAATAATCATCGCGCTTTATTTCGAGGCGCGCGTAACTAATCTGCGACTCTAAACGGCGCTACCATAATGACCGCGGTTATAGAAGAGAGAATGAGCTTCCATCTCGCCCCGTCTCCTTCTCTCCGTTCCGATCGATATAAATTACCGCTGCTCCGTGCAAAGATCAGATCCTCATAGTTCTCATCTTCAACAGATGGAGAGGATTAGCGATATTAGCGAGGAAAATCGGCTTCGTAGTGGCGCTATCATCAGCTCCCGACTTACTTCTCTCTGTGTTTTCGTTCTTTCTCCTTGCAGAACGGAGAGCTTTCTCACATCGCGGGATATGGAAGAAAGACTGTTTCTTCGCTTTTCTCTCTTCATTCTCCTTGCCCTGCTTCTCTCATCCTTCTTTATCTCCCGTCTCTCTTTTACACCTCTCTCCGTTGCTCTCGCGTCTTCTCACGTCTGGCCGGTATCATCTATCATTCTGTCAGCTAGGAGATTTCAATTTGCTCTCTTTTTGCGCCATTACCGGACCCCGCAGCCCGCGCAAAATTGTATTTAATTGTGATTGACTGCTAAGTGGAGGTGGCCGCCGCCATTTGTCCCGCGATTTTTGCATATCCCTAATTGCGCGAGAGATGCGTCGCGAGTTGAATCGCGGTCGAATGAGATTATTCCAGTCACGCGTCGTCTCGCATACGAGGCGGAAAAAAAAACGCGACGCGACAGTCGATCGAAGCGAGAGTTGATTGTGATCCGGAGGTATCTAGTCTTTCGGATTAAAAGATATTAACGCTCGGCTAGTAATTAGCCGCACAACGAGAAATATATAGAATAAGTTCTTATCACAGTACTATTTTAGATCGTAATGATGTTGCTGATGACTGTAGTTGATCTAACGACAGATATAAACAGCATCGATATCGATAAGTTGATTTCATATTTTCTCGATTCGTTTATTTCTCACTTCTCTAATTAACACATACGCATTGTTGCGCTGAACGTGTAATCTCTGCATTTAAGACGACTAAAAGTTGAGCCACAATCCCTTTTGAGATAATTTATATAATTACATACAATTGTTTTAATAATTACCATTGAGCAGTAGTTACAGGTGAATACTCAGGTAACGCAAGATAAACGTAATGCTAAGCGTTTTTTTTTTCTGAAACCCGTGAAAAATCATGTGGAGTTCGCCCGCAAAGAGCAGAAAATACGCGAAAAAGACGCGCTGATTATGCAATTCAATTTTTCATCTTTCGTCTTCAGTACTCTTCGCTTTATAAGAGCCATTTTTTACAGATTGTAAATTCGCTTCTTTTCCAAAGTTTTTCTTTAAAAATATGAATTAATGTTTAGAAACTCCCTCCACTTTCTCAAAGCTATCTTTCATACGCCCTTTTAGGGCGAACTCCTCAATTGATACCTATCGTCGACTCGAAGCATCAATGAACGATCACGCACGTGCACACGTACGCGTGAACGGAGGGATCCCTGCCCCCGCACTATGCAGATATGCGTGTACGTACCTATGTACAGAATCACCTATACAGCCTCGCAATAAGTTAGACGCGCCTTGAATCAGATATTTACACGGTGCCTCGTGAGGACGACAATCTATTTACAATTAAACTCGAGGCGAGTACGCCCCCGCCGTTCTAGCTTGGCACGGCGATAGCGATGAAAGAGACTCTCATAATATTACAGTCAACGATCACATTTTATGCGCCCTGACCTACCCACTTGCCTTGTAGTGATATCTCGTAGGTACCGGGTCGGCGACATTTCTCGTCGCTGCGATTACGCGAGAACCATTCAAGACAACGACATTTTATCCTATTATTTATTGATTAATTCAAAATACCGAATCAAGTTAACACAGAATATCCTATCTGCGTTTTATGTCGCGAGATATCGGTCGCGATCTCCAAAGCTGTTCGTCCAGGAGGATCCTGGACTGGCCAGTTGCGCTTTTTCTCGCTCTCCGCTCCGATCCTATCACGACCGATTAGAAAAACATCCTGGAATCTTGCAGCAATGCGCTGCGATGCGCCGCGATGCCAGGATAAGAATTACTGCGCGGCGCTAAATTTACGCGCTCGGTTAAGCTTGACGCGCGCGATTAAAAGCAGTCTTTTTTCTCGTCGATCTTCTAATCGGTTAGTTTTAACGTAAGCTATCGCTGATGGTGTATCGATAACGCCGAAAGATAATTTATTTGTATATTATTTATAACATCTCGAAGATAAATCATATTTTTGAAAATTGATAAAATAATTTAATTTAGGCAGTTTATATAAAAATACAAACATTTAAGAGCTTTACGAATATATATTTCAAAGACAGAAAATTTACTTTCGCAAAATAGTAACACAATCAAATGAATCATCCTTTTATCAAAGAATCGAAATATGATTCATTTATTTTGAATTTATTTGATATCGAAAACATTGAATTAACCAAATTTTTAACAACTAAATCGAGTTTATGAGTAAATGATAAGTCTATAAGATCTTGATTCGATAACGACGCTTTCTGGTACTATATTTTTCCGTTTACATACCGTTCACGATCGATGCCGCCATGGTCGAGTGACTCGTTTACAAGTTAATGAAGTCTCGATTCCCAGTTCGCTCGTTAATTCATGCCCCCTCGCGAGCGAGCTGTCTCGTTCTCGGTACCCCGACAATTCGTCATTACCTACGGACGTCTCGCAGTCTGTCGAAAGAAGGACGCGCCTCGTCGTTTCTTGTCGAAGAATGGAGCAGTGATCTTTCAATCTGCTTCTCTCCAAACTCGTCGGAGGAAGTTCAAGCGAGGATTCAGAAACGTCCTTCAGAATTCCACAAAGACGAAGATGTTGATTCCAATTTCGGTTGATTTCGCAGCCTCTTGAAGAGATTTAAAGTTTTCGTCATTGTCAGGATGGACTGCTTATCGGGCTTCTTAGCTCTTCTATTCGATGTTCCGCGATCTTCTCTAGGTCACCGCAGCAACATGCAAGAAGACACAATGCCGAACAAAACGCTGTTCTCCTTTTCGGAAGAAGATCCGAGTTTTCGGATTCGGATGTTTATTTGCGTTGCAGCAGCTCGTAAAGCGCGGCGATGTAAGTCTGCGCCATTTGCAGTGTTTCGAACTTACTGAGCTTCCTATCATTGCCTAGACTGGGCACAACGTCGCGCAGTCTGTCAAAGGCGTCGTTTAGACTGTTCATTCTTCTTCTTTCTCTGGCGTTCGCCGCCAGTCTTCTCTTCCTCAATACCTCGACACCGGGCGCGCTGCTTTTTATCTTCTGCACGGCCGTCTCTTTAGATTTCTGGTTGGCGTATTCCACTGGCAAAACGACGTGGAGACTGTCGTTTCTCTGATGATATCTCGACTGATCACACTTGCTCGGCTGACCGCTCGGCAGGCCAGACTCATTTTTCGGCATGGTGTAAGTGACGTAAGGGTGATTCCTCTGAGCGTAACGGTGATTCTCGTTTCGCGGATGATAGGCACCGCTCTTCGCGTAACCCTTCGTGGCAAAGACAGGCTGACTCTGACCGAAGTCGGTCCTCGAGTTTGCGTATGCTCCAGCCAAAAGGTGGTCCGTCTTTTGGACGTATCCTGCTAGATCCTGCTTATTCATAATACCCTCGTTGAAGGCCATCCTAGATGCAGCGTCATCGTAAGTCGCACACTGTTCGTTCATCCTAAAGATAAATTTGGCGTGAAGATCCGTGACGTTCCTAGTGCCGTCACCATTCAACGTTGGCTGATGCTCGTTGCGGCAGCCACCTTCCTGATAGTAACCCTCGTAAAAATCGCCGAAGTTGAAGCCGGCGGTCACATGAAGGATGCCATTGGGGGTACCGCCGCCGATCTCCTGATATTCCTGTTGATGATGACTATCCACGGAGCTAACGCTGCCGCAGCTGCTGCCACGGGACCGCGGCGGCTGCGGATAGATCTCTTGATGATGCCAATTGCTACGCGGATTCGATTCTGGGCTGCTTGCCGATCCGTAACCCTCGGAGTCCAGGAGGTCGTATTGCTGGAAGGCCATGTAGGAGGTCATCCTCATGTGTGCACGTATCGGACGATTGATCCTCGGCTACCAGCAATCTTATATCATAACGTGCCTCTGGCTGCGAGAGCTCTCAATCAATTGTCATTGCCTTCACTGTAGAATTTTACGATAATTGACCGATCGATTGATGTCGTTGCAAACGTCGCCAACGATGATTTAAAGATCGGATTCAAGATGCAAAGTGTAATGGTGTCAGAAACGTGTTTGAAGTTACGTCCGTCAGTTTTTCCGTCAGGCTATCGTCTGAGGATCTCCGCCGAGTGTGCTTCATGTACGGAAGCGTTCCGTAAACTGCCTTTACCTGCCGATCTCGTGGTCTGGACCATGCCGCCCGGTTTTCTTGGGGCCCGTTGGTGGGGAAAGCGGCGAGACGGAGTCCTGGGACCACGTGGAAGGGGATCTCTTGAAGAGTGGAAGGGGTCCACTGGGAAGTGGGCATCTCTTTGTAGAAGCCGCGCGACCAGGCACGCCCCTCGTCTTCCTTCGTCTTCTCTTCGCTGGGGGCTCCTCTCCGGGCCCTCTAAGAAGTCAAAGGCGATCTGGGCACAAAAAATAAAAAGCCCGATCGTGCTGCACGCACCGAACGGGCGCCGCGTTCTTGACATTGGAGATCCTCGGCCGCTGGCCGCCGAGCTACGATTTTATGTCCCCGTTTCCTTTTTGCGTTAATTAGATTTTATTTCTCCCCATTCTTGCGTAATATTCTCGTGACATTCTAATTTCTTCTAGAGAAAGCAGCGTATGTTTCATTTAATATCGCGCGTTTCACATTATCGATTATTTTTATTCCTATTGGTACGTTATACATATCTTTGCTAAAGCGCAATTCTGTAATCATCATTATTTTTAATAGTAGTGCCAAAATAGTAATGATTCATTAAAGAAGATGAGGAAAAAAATGTATATTTTCTTGCATAATATGTAGTGCTAAAATGATCCTCGTGACACGTTTAACTGTCAATGTATCATATGTACAATGAACGCAGGTGTTATATTAATGGATGCGCGGCACGCATATGGAATACAATACGTTTCGCAAGACAGGAGCGAAAATATAATTTCCTTGCGAAACTTTCCAGGTCGCTGATGTCAAACGTGAACCAGGGAAAGCGTTTGGCACGTCTAAAACCTATTAACACTCACCTGGAAATAATTTATAAATGGTACTGGTAAAACTTTCTTGATATGGGTTCTTTGAAATTGAATTACGCAGATACGCGCCTAAAAATGGATGCGTCTAACTGACACTAATTGGTAGCGCAACCATTCCGCAAAACCGAAGTATTGTGATGCGAAGTAAGGGTATTGTGCAGAAATTAATGAGCATCAACTAGAATTTTTAATAGCGTTAAAACACGTTGAATATATTACCGCCGAGTGTAAAATATCTTGGCCTTAATATACATCGTGACATAATGCGTTGTGTCATCGGAAGGTATGTTGGCAAAATATTTTCTCGGAACTTTAATTGGCTCCGTGTTTCCTTATTTACCTGAAGCCGTCAGCTCCTACTTTTTCTGCGAGGCCCCTTGCCGTGCTTTATGAGATTTTAAATGCAATAGGGCTGAGAAGTGTGGACAACTCTGATCGTTTTACGAGATTTCCAAAGCCCATATATTCCAAAGCTGCTTACGAGTCCTTTTTAAGTCGGAAGCCAGAATAATGAGCTTTACGAAAATCTGCGGGTGGTTCTTGATTTATTATAGATATTTCAGCGACAAATGTGAAATATTATTCTACAGGCAATATTCTCATTCTTTATTTGTAAAGATATTTCCAATATATTACTATCTGGTATTTGGAGCTAAACATTGAAAGAGAAGCCTTAATCGTTACTAGCATTAATCAAAATTAACAAAATGAATAACGTTTACAAGACTGTTAATTTGCTATGCAGCAAGACGTTTCGTAAGGTGTGTTTATACGTGCTCGATAAATAGTATAAAGTAAGTACATAATGAATGACGTCTTTTGACGACTTCGATCTCACAATTATCGATATAATTAGGCTATATTGTGGTGCAGTTTAGCGTGTTTACGCATTGGTTAAACGCACCGTGTCAAACGAAAAACTGTCGCGTACCACAAGTAGTGCCGTATAAAACATCTCTATTGACGATTTCTATTCAAAACATCTATTTTTGCGATATCGGTGTGTAGTCATAGTGGGCTCGTGCTTGACATTTTATTTAGAACTGCGAGATCGATCTCGGATCGTAATGCAATGAACAATCACATGACACGCATGTGCTAATGGCAGTACGTCAGTAACCAAAATTTATATTTAGGCTTTACTGGAAAACCGTGATATAATACGAACGACAAATTTGAGTTTTGTTATACTCTGTATGGCTACGTTTATAAATAAGCATGAGAACATGCGACTTAACCCGTCCGATTCCGAAGAAAGAACAAGGCTCTATTCCACTCTTCTCGAAAGAGAAACTCGGGTGCGGGGGCTCCTGTAGGGGCGTATCTCTATTCGTTTTCCTTCGTTTGTCGGGAATTTGGAGTCATTCTCGCAAAAGGCGGCGGCCTCAAGAAGTTCATTATCCTCTACTAATACGCACCAAATAAGCCGATCGCGCTCGACCGGCCCATAGAGAGGGAAAAGAACGTTCCTATCCCGATGAATTCGAAGGGTTACGCCCACTGGCGGATTTTAATTTACCGAAAACGCTCTTTGCGGCTTGCGCAACAAGTCTGTGAATCTTCGGGAAAATTTTAGATTAGCTTCCAACCCTGTTTTAATTCTTTAAGATTGAAAACTTAACGAATAATCTGATTTCTTCGCAATAAGGCGACACAAATCGAGAAGACAATTAGTTTGTATCTTTGGCTATCAAGACCGACCTGCGATCATTAACATGATCGATCATTATTTGATATATAAATGGTTATATTTTTCGAATAAAAGTAGACGGTATAAATTGATACGCGACCAGAAGTAAGTCACGAAAATGATACAATTTCCATTACCGTGGTGACACGCTAAAGTAATAATAATATATGCCGCAAAATCGCACAGATACTTACGTTCACTATTCACGCGGCGACGGCTCTTAGCAATAAGGTAAGGTTCCCGCAATCGAGTTGCCATTATATGTAATTATATAACAAAGACTAATGAGAGTTCCGACGGTTTCGCGTCCAACAAACCCGCGCGTGATTGCGCCGGGAGCAGGATCATCAATCGATCGATCGATCGACACCATCTCGCGTTGTCCATCAGCGCGATATTACGTCTCCCGCGAGGTAGGCGACAAATACAAGCGTCGGAGACAATACTCGCAAGTGTGAGCCTTGTGTTATCTAGGAACCTATTTATAGATCTTTGCACCATAGATACGGTCGATCCAGGATCGGACCAAAAGAGTAAAGAGGATACGAGAAAAATCTTGTCTTATCTTTTTAGATGAATTACCCGTATTTATCATTACCGATCAATTGCATGGTATTGCGTGTGCGACACGAGTGAAATGTATGCTGCGTGGATAAAATCATTTTCAGTTGTTTTTACAACATCAGAGTGAGTGTCCTCTACTCTTCTCCTTCTCCTCGTGGACAGAAAGATTTCTCATCTTTCTCATCCGATCTTGGATCGATTCGCCTCACAAACTGATGCGGTGGCGGCAGCGGCTGCGGCTAATAACAAATTTATTGCAGCCGATGAAGTGCATAAATTGATTATTACTAGCTGGCAACGCATCTCGCCGCCGCGAGAAAGTTCCAGTTCAGACAATCACCGATGATTTACAACATAATGGCGCGCGTTTGACTGATGCGAGCTTACTCGTGCGACTATTCGCGCATACGCGCGGCTTGATGCGTTTGCAGCATCAGCTACATGTGTACGGTTACCCGCCTGCGGCCGCAAGGTACAGCCTCGATTCCGAAGATGCACACGGTACGGTTTTCCCCGCTCTCGGACCTCGAAGTCGACGTAACGCCGTTGTCGTTTGCGCGAGAGCATGCCGAGGGCGACGTATAATTCGATCGAGTACGATCCTTTCGATGCGCCATAAAACCAAATATGTACATACATCGAAGACGGAAAATCCCCTATATATATAAAATCGTTACAGAGTGTTTATTATTCAAACATTGTATAGTTAAAGTTGCTACCTATAGACGATCGTTTTGACCCGGAGACAAAAAAGAAGAAGAAATAACCCAGACAGCACGCATGTCCGAATTGATAGACGTCATCTTTAAGACATCTTTAAGACATCTTATGTCCCGATTTTGGACACGGTGCTGTCTGGGAAATTAATATGTATCAAGTGCTTTATTATAAAAATTGCTAAAACAAAAAAGTAAAAAATGTCATAAGATAAAAAATGACTATAAATAATCAAGAAATAAAATAAAAAAAATTCTGGATGTTAACAAACAAAAATATATATAAATAATAAATAAATAATAATTATTAATAATAATCAATAATAATCATTATCTTTTGACTGTTACATCCTGGATCTATCAAGATTCTAAAAGAATATACTTCTGCAGTTACAGACAATAATCACTAAGCGCTCACGGAACTACTTTCTCTGCTGAACGTACGCAGCTATTGTAAGATACACACCGAGTTTGGAACGGCATTTATCCAATTTATCCTTCTCACGAGTCAGTTTTTTTTCCAACGCTATTCACTCAGGGAATTGTACAACAAATTAATTTTTTTTTTAATTAAAAATTACGTAAGATGTTTTACATTTCACGTAACCCGAAGAAATAATAACCTGGAACCCGGACATAACCCTTCAAAACACGCCGGAGAAGTCGCAACCTTATATATAGCTTCCCGTAATCTAGCAGTTTCTCTGGTTAATTTAATAAGTAAATGTCGTTTTTGTACGCAAGTTTCTTCGTCTTTATCAATGTTTTCTATTCCTTATCTCCATGAAATTCGTTTCGCGATCGGTTATATTGCTCGTATTAATCGTTATCTTCATTCACATTGACGCTTCTGTTTTGTTCATTGTTTAGCTGGTCGATCATAATGGCCGGGAGATGATTTGATTTTCTAAACGGTCCAAACACACAAAGGGTCTCGATTCCTCAGGGTTCATCCAAATAACATGACCCTCGTACGAGCTGGAGATTTATGATCAACCGGGACCCTTAATTAGAATCACACCCAAGGTGTCCTAATTACAGGTTAGACCGTGGCGCTTGCCCGGCTCTTCAAAGCTGTGCCCTCGGCGCAAAACGGTGCGAATCGCGCCAATTTCTGGCTCGAGCTGCTTACCGACAGCTCG